ATGGGGGTCCAGTTTCATTCTCTTGCATGAGGCTGTCCAGTTTTCCCAACACTATTTATTGAACAGACTATCCTTCCTGCATTGTATATTTTTGGCACCTTTGTTGTAAATTAATTGACCATATATGCACAAATTTATTTATGGGTTCTCTATTCTATTTCACTGATTTGTGTGTCTTTTTTTGTGCAAGCACTATACTGTTTTGATTACTATAGCTTTGTAATATAGTTTGAAATCATAAAGTGTGATGCCTCCAGCTGTGTTCTTCTTTCTCAGGATTGCTTTGGTTATTCAGTGTCTTTTGTGGTTCCATACAAATTTTAGGATTGCTTGCTCTACTGGGTTGTCAGAAAAGTCATGACACATTTTTGCAACAAAAAATATAGAAAAAATACATCATGACTTTTCCAACAACCCAATATTTCTGTGAAAACTGCCATTTGCAATTTTGATGGGAATTGCACTTAATCTGTAACTGGCTTTTGTGTCTTCTTTGATTTCTTTCATCGCTGTCTTATAGTTGTCAGTGTACTGCTCTTTCACCTCCTTGGATAAATTTATTCTTAGGTATTTTATTCTTTTTGATGCAATTATAAATAGGATTGTTTTCTTAGTTTCTCTTTCTGATAGTTTGTTGTTAGAGTATAGAAATACAACTGATTTTTATATATTGATTTTTGTATCTTGCAAATTTACGGAATATGTTTATTAGTTCCAACAGTTTTTTTATGTAGTCTTTAGGGTTTTCTCTATATAATGTCATCTGCAAATGGACACAGTTTTACTTACTTCTTCCTTTCCAACTTGGATGTCTTTTATTTCTTTTTTTCTTGCCCAATTGTTCTGGCTAGGACTTCCATTGTTAATGTTGACTAAATGTGGCAAGAGTAGGCATTCTTGTCTTGTTCTGATCTTAGAGGAAAGCTGTCAGCTTTTCACCACTTAGTATGATATTAGGTGCGGGTTTGTCATATGTGGCCTTTATTATGTTAAGTTCCCTCTTTAAAATTTATTTTCCTTACTTCTTTTTTACTAACATTATTACTAAAATAATATTAGTAAGAATTGATAATGTGATTAAGTTCTATAAAATAAAAAGACTTTTATGAGGAGATAAGGGGCATATAATTTAAAATAGGGTGGGGTGGTGAGTGATAGTTTCTCACAGGAAGTGATATAGAAACTGAGATCTGAAGGATAATGCGGAATTAACCAGGTAAACAGCAAATGGGGATGGACCTAGAGAATATTAGGCTAAGTGAAATAAGTCAGACTGAGAAAGGCAAATACCATATGATCTCACTTATATGTGGAATCTAAAGAACAGAATAAGTGAACAAACAAAACAGAAATAGACTCAAAGATATAGGGGGAAAAAAACTGATGGCTGCTAGATAGGAGGGGGTGGGGATGGGGGAGAAGGTAAAGGGATTAGAAAGCACAAATTAGTAGTCACAGTATAGTCACAGGGACATGAAATCCAGTTTGGGGAATACAATCAATAATGTTGTAAAGATTATGTAGGGTGCCAGTTGGGCACTGGACTTATTAGGGAGAACACTTCATGGACTGTGTAGATGCCTGACCACTGCATTGTACAACTGAAGTCAAAGCTGAATAAGAATGAATGTCAATTATAATTATTTATATATATATATATATATGTGTATATATATATATATATATATATATATTCATTCACAGGATGTGGAGTACAGCATAGGAAATATAGTCAATGGTATTGTAACAGCTATATACGATGTCAGAGGGGAAGTAGATTGGGGGGATTATCACTTTGTGAGGGGTGTGAATATCTACTACATTGCTTTGTACACCTGAAACTAATACAAACAACAACAACAACAAAAAAGCAAGTGGGAAGAGCATCTAAGTATCCTGCATAAATCCCCTAAGATCAGATACTTAAGAACCTGAAAGAAGATGACTGTGTCTGAGTAGAGTGAGCAAACTGGAGAGTCAAGTCAGATGAGGCTGGAAACTGTACGCACTTTTATCTTTCCCAGGGACTTATTAACCTAAAAATAAAAGGCCTTTCAAAGCGAGAGGCTACAAGCATTTGTTTGAGATCAAAAAATATCTGTTCGGGGAAAGCACTAATTCAGGCAGAAGCCCAATAGTGTTCCAATTAGGAGGCAAATGCAAGGGGTATTTATGAGAAAGGGAAGGGGAACAATTACATCATAAAAGAAAGGCATTTCTATTGGTGTAGATAACATAGTGATGTTTATTCTAAAGAATGTTTTCAATTTTCAGTCCTATAGTCAATCAGTCCAGTAGTCAAAATATCTGCTTTCTTGTTATCTTTGCAAACAGTTCTTTGAGACACAAGGTTGTTTTATGCCCAATCCAAATGTCCTGTTTTAACATTCCAAAAGTTTGATGCAAAAGACATGCAAGGCAGTTCCTCTGGGATGGCAGCTCTGGCTCCATTTTATTTATTTATTTTTAAAGATTTTTTTAATTGGGGAATTGGGGGGAGGGGAACAGACAAGTTGCTGTCCTTTTGTTCTTCAGTCTAGTTGTGGAGGACGTTGCTTCACTGGCCCAAGTTGGCACCATCATTGCGCTCTTCCTGGGTGAGGCAGATCAGTCACCGGCTTCTGGACGGCCGCTCACTGTGGCTGCTGGCCACTCACTCTGGCTGCTGGCTGCATACGGTAGCCCATGGCAACCCGCTGCCACAGGGGCTGCAGCCTACGCCGTCACCAGTGACTCAGCAGCCCAGCTCCAGGTCGAGCTGTTGTTCAGCATCTTAGCTGTAGAGGGCAGTGTCACTGGCCCTCATATGTGGGATCCGAACCGGGGCCCTCTGGCGTCCCAAGCCAGTTCTTAACCAATGCACCACTCAGCCGGCCCTCTGGCTCCATTTTAAAGTGGCTCCATTTATTATTTTTTACACTGTTTATCATTTGCCAGCACACTGCTGTTTATTATGCTCTCCTACTTGTGTTTCATTGAAATTCTTCAAAATAAATATTTTTAAATATAATAATAAATAACTAATCCATACTGCAGGAATGGCCATAAAGGAAAAATGTGGTAGTACTGGGAATAAAATTCTAGAAAATTCAAATGAACATGTGCAAAAAAGAAAAAAGAAAAAAAGAAAAGAAGAAAAACCTAAACAGGAAAGTTAGGAAGCTCTGGAATTAAATACACAAGAAAATATATCTGGTCAGAGAGGACAGCTGGGAAGGACAGAAAGAGTTTAAATGATGAAAACAAAATGCTTCGCATTTGCTAAGAAACTTTTTCTGACAAGTTAACATAACATTAGCCTTTCCAGAATGGTAAAGATGAAAGCTACATGGTCAAGACTACAGAATAAATGTGACCAACCAATAGGAAGCAGCATGGTAGCCAAGAACGGCAGCGATGTTAAATGATGGCTTTTGTAAGCTTGGAGTTCCTATGTACGTAAAAGCTAAAAACAAAGTCTCCAGAAAAAATAAAATCAGTAATCCTAAAATGGTAGGCATGAAAGAAACAATGATGTATGGATTATATCTTTCCAGCCTTATTGAGATATAATTGATATATAACATTGTGTAGTTTAAGATGTATGTATTGATTCATTTATATACTGCAATATATTACCACTGTAACTTAGCTAACACCTCCATCCTATCACATAATTGCCATTTCTATTGTTTCTGAGTTTGCCTTTTTTAGATTCCACATATAAGAGTAATATCATACAGTATTCATCTTTGCCTGAATATTTCACTTTGCATAAGGCCCTCAAGTTTCATCCAAATGGTCACAAACAGCAGGATTTCCTTTTTTCTCATGGCGGAATAATATTCTGCATTTTCTTTATCCATTCATCAGTTGATGGACACTTAGGCTCTTTCTATATCTTGGGTATTGTGAATAGAGCTGCAATGAGTGCAGTTATCTCTACAAGATCCTGATTTCAGTTCCTTTGGGTATATACCTAGAAGTGGAATTGTTGGATCATTTGGTAGTTCTATTTTTTATTTTTTGAGGAACCTCCATATGGTTTTCCAATTTGTACCAATTTGCCTTTCCATCAACAGTGCACAAGGGTTCCCTTTTCTCCATGCCCTTGCCAATACTTATCGCTTGTCTTCTTGATAGTATTCATTTTAACAGGTGTGAGGTGATAACTCATTGTGGTTTTGCTTTGCATTTCCCTGATGATTAGTGATACCAAGCACCTTTTCATGTACTTGTTAGCCATTTTATGTTTTCTTTGGAAAACTGTCTTTTAATAAATGGTGAAGCCCTTTAAGACACAGTTCTAGAGAACTTTTAGGAGTATAAAATATAAAGAATGTAAAAATAAAACAAAAAAGAAAAAATATATATATATATATATAAAGAATGCCAACATTCAATTGATCAGATTTCAAGAATTAGCTGAGATAAACAGAATTTCTTGAGGAGGTGTGATCCAAGGAACAGAGAAGCATGATATAAAAATATAAAGTGTCAAAGTAATGCCTCATAGGAGCTTTACCTATATGCTCATCCCATTTCGACTCCCACTGAGTTCACAAACATCTAATTCTGCTTACTGTTTAGGGTCTGCCTAACATAAAGACATATTACACATGCTAAAGATTTTTTTTTGGTAAAATATTATTTTTTGCAAGTTTGCTTTTTAATAGTACACACTTACTTAATGTTTGAGGTGGAGGGAAGAAAAATACAAAAAAAACCCCCCCACAAAACCTAAAAGCAATTCCTTCCATATGCCCAGACCATCACATAGCAGAAAGTCAGTAAAGGCAGAGAGTTCACTCTAGGAAATGAAATGTATTAGTACTGCTCTCCATATTGGTCATGAGAGAAAATACAAGGCAGTTCCTAATATTTACATTTTTGTTTGGGTATTTATAGCTACTAACTCCATATCTGAAATTTAATGCTTTGTGCTCATGATGACAACAAAAAATACCACTCTGGAAAAAAAAGTACCACTCTGACAATGTAACTCTTTATTTTTATTCCAGGTATCCATTTCTGTTGCCTATACTGGAACAGGAGTATGTGGCCCAGAAAACTCTAATTGCTATTTTAGAGGAACAACCTTACTTAGTAATGCCCAAATTTATGTATTTTGCATTGCTCTTGAAACAGTAAGTTAATAACGACCTCTCTATCATTTTGGTTAATTGTGAACAAATTGTCCCATCACTGCTATCTCTTTTGCCAGGAAGCAACTTCATTTTTTTTTGAATGGTAAAAGGAAGAACTTTAATAGCACAAGGACAATTTATTAGACTACTGCTAGCTGTGTCTTGGTTTTTCCAGACATTAAGAAAATTAGGCCTCACAGAGCACAAATTATTTACTTCAAGAGAAAAGAGTTATTGTTATTGTTATTATTATTAATAATATGGGTGAATTCTTTTAGTTTGACTGATCTAGAATTCTATTTTGAAAATAGAGGAAAAAAAACCTGAGAGTGTTGCCAGAAAAATATTAAGGCTATTTGGTAAGTTCATCACTTCACTTATGAAAGAGCACCTACAACTTCATGAAAGGCAATACTATGAGTTCCAGAGTACTTGTGGGTGAATTCGGCCCAGGTCCACTGTCTTTTCTGGGGAGAAAACAGAACAACATTTAAAATTCACCAGGTACCAACATGTGCCAGACTCTGTGTGACAGCTTTGCATGCATTTTATTACACTTAGGGAATATGAGGTTTAATGAGAAGAGTCATTTGTGCAGAGTGAAACAGCTAATACATGCTGGAATAAAGTTTCAAAACAAAGTTTAAAATCTGTTACAGATCTTAAACTCTGACCATTAGGATAAACTCCTCCCCGGCTGTAAGTTACTAGCCAAGTCGAGAACACAGATTCACTATTATAAAATTATGTTATTAATAGATCTAGCACTTTCTTTACTATTTATATTTTATTCAGCCTACTTCTGAGCCATGTTGGGTTTATTCATGCATTCACTGGACATGTATGCTCACAGGAAGGTCTAAGATGGCACTTTCTATTCATCCTTGCTTAAGAACTGCCCTGACTAAACAGCTACATCCAAGTCCTTGATGTTCTATCCCATCACACCTGTCCCTGCCTTTTGTAGCATTCATTACACCTGGGGTTGTTTGGATAACGTCTGTCATCCTTGCTAGATTGCATGCCCAGGAGGTCAAGACACATTTTCTGAACCACGGCTAGCTGCACACCCCACTTAGTACAGTACCTAACACAGAATACGAGTGCAATAAATATGGGCTAAATTGAGCTAGGCTGAGCAGAACTGAGCTGATCTAAGCAGAACTAAGGTGAAGGTACAGTCCCACTATCTTCACAGAACTAAAGCAATGGTTCTCAACCTCAGGTATACATTGGAGTCACCTAGGGAACATTTAACACTGATGCCTGGGCCCGCTCATGAGAAATTCTGCTTTAACCAGTCTGGTTTTCTTTGCTGTTTTTGCTACCTTTTGTTAGTCTAGTAAATAAGGATATCTTTCCACAGAATTCAGTGTGTATAACATATGGATAAGTTGTGGCCTGAGCATTGGGATTTTTCCAAGCTCCCTGGATGTCCGATGGCACTCAGTGTAGGTGACGTAGCATTTCTTTGTTCATTCCTCTCACTTAGTGACACATGCAATGCATGAATCAGGCGTCACACTTTGTGTACTTGGAAAGTAATCTTTGCAAAGAAGTCTCTTTGACTCCTCTTAAAGTATTATGATTTTTTTTCTCTGCTTTTCTCCAGAATGTTATCTCCAAACATGATGCTTGCCCTTGCTGAGTACCTTGGAGTAGATACTTGCATGGCTTCTTTCAGAGGAAGACAGAAAGCAATGGAAATTGAGACTGAAACCAAGAGGGAACACCAAAGCTGAAGCCTCAAATATACTAATAAAATAAAATGTTATAAGGATACACTATTTGGAACTCCTCCTAGTGCTTAAATCATTCCAGTGTACCAAGACATTCAAAAGTGCCAACCTTATGGCCAGGACATGGTTTACACACTGATAATTTTTCCAGCCGTTCAAATTATGTAGTTTTTCCGATCATTTTTTAGTTTGGTAAATAAGGACATCATAGCCATTCCAATGAATACATTTATAAAAACATATTAATGCAAATTGAGCCTAATTAATTTTTAAAGACAATGATACTTTTAGAAAAGGGATAATTAAGAGTATAATTACCTTGTAAATCAGTGTTTTAGGCTGATAATTTTTTAACATCAGATTTAAAAAACATATTAGTCTTCTAATTAAGGAAAAGAATGTTTACCTCACAAAGTGAAGGCTTATTTGTATTGCCTATCAACTCCTACTGGAGCTGGATAATCATATCAAGTTCTGCTTAGTTGATAAAATAAGTCCATAACTAATCAGGTTTGCATCTAAATGTGCCAAACAACTCATAACTTCTTCACTACATAAGACAAAAGAAAACAGTACAGATTAGACTTTTATATACTACTAGTTTGAAAAGAAAGCTTATTTTCATAATTAATAAAATGTTCGTAACATTGGTGTACTTGAATACATGATATAAACTCCCCCTTTAAAAAGAAAAAGTGTTATACTCATTTGAATGCATCACACATGCCAGCCATTTGGCAAGCATTCCTAACAATGAATTTGGAATTAATTGGGTTTGGAATGTTCTTGAATTCCTGGGTTTGGAATGGCTCTTTAGCTGCAATCACTAAAAACATCAATCAGTTTTAAGAGCCATTGAGTTAATGGTAAACATAAAAAATATAAATTTTCAGGGCCGGCCGAGTGGCTCAGATAGTTAAGAGCGCAAACTCTGAGCAACAGGGTCGCCGGTTCGATTCCCACATGGGCCAGTGAACTGTGCCCGAGCTGACCTGCCGCTGAGCGGCCAATAAAAAAAAAAATCTTAAAAAAAAACACCATATATATAGATAGATAGATAGATAGATAGATAGATAGATAGATAGATAGATAGATAGATTCAAGTAAATTGAAATGTATGTTCTATTAACCAAAGAGTGCATATTCAATACATAAGATCTAGCCCATTATTTGGGACATGATTTTACATTCACGCAAAGAAAGCATAGTTTTGAGATGAATTAGAGAAAAATTGTTGAAGAGAGGAATAAACATTCCAAATGCAATATTTTTTAAGGAACTGAGTTATGTTTTAAGACTTTTGTTAATACAAACTTTATAAAACTTTGATACCTCTTTGGCTTCTTAAAACAAATATTCAAAGAACTATTTAAATTTTCCTTAATGCCTCAGGAGCATTAACATATTTTTGTCTGAGTTGACACCTAGCAGTAGCTTTTGAGGGGTCACTTATCACTAAGTAAACTGGTCCTCACCCCCTTACTTGGATATCAAAAGATCTGTCTGCTTTCACGTCACTCAGCCAAGAATGTAAGTTCAAGTTTGGCCTGTCTTATTTATCAATTGTCTAGCACAGGGTCGGCAAACTTTTGAGACAGAAGAGCCAATCCTGCCCCTCACAACAATGTAAAAATTATTAAAAAGCAAATGAAATCACCATTATGTGAATAAAAATTTTTAAATTTTTAAAATTTTTATAAATGAAACTATGAGAGCTTTATTTTCATTTTCAATTTTACTTCAGAGCCACATGTACGTACCCAAAGAGCCACATGTGGGTCACGAGCTGGTTTGCCGACCCCTGGTCTAGCCTAAGGAGAGTCTTTTATTCATTCACTTATTCATTCATTCAACACACATTTCCTGAATACCTACTATTTATGGCACTAGAAATATAGTGGTGAATAAGACAGTCACTAAATAAGGTTCAAGATCTTTGTGACAGCTATGAGCCACACGGAGCTTTGGTTTGGTTTGGTTTTGCCTACTTCATGGTTAATATTGATGGAAGTCTGGTTTTTCATCTGTTAACTTTACAACACTTTTGAGTCTGCATAGCTTGCTCCTCTGTTATCGTTCATTCACATTTACGTATTGCGGTTAAAGAGCTAACAAAACATTTTGCTTTTCTGCAAGAGAATTTTCTGTTAGGTTAAACTTCCAAGCTCTGTTCCCCTGGTAACCTGATAAAGAATCAAATGTCAAATGTGTTTCTAAGCAACATTGCTTATGAGAAGAACTGATTGGTAACCTGCATCAGGCTAGAGGAGTTGTATTGAATTACAAATACTTAATGGGAAGGATGCCATACTTTGGGTTTCCCTGAGCTAGGGGATTTGGGCAACTGCGATCTTGGAGGCTATGCCCATGCAGTTGTGGGCTCTGTGGGGCATGAGGCTTTTAAACAGGTCCCTCACTTGTTCTATGTGTATCTCCTTGCTCTAGAGCTGGCATCTGAGAAGTTTCCTGCATGTCTGTTCAGTGCTGCATGGACTGTTGCAAGGCACACCCCCACGCAGGCAAAAATAACTGCCACTTCCCACTGGACTGTGGCTCCGTCTCACACTCTCGGAGTGGACTCCTGTCCATGGCTATCTTCTGAGTCTGAATGTTGAGTTGTACCTAAATGGACTTCCCGGTGGGCATTTCTCTTTCTCTTGCTATTTGGCTATCTTTGAAGTTTTATAATATATAATAGCTATGCATGTAACTGTTTCAAATCTTCACATATAGGCATGAAATCTGTCCAATAAAAGCAACAAAACTGAATTGATTGTGTTTGAAATTTGGTCATGTCTATTATTTTTTTCCCACTAAGTTTTTTTAAAAGCACCCCAGTTACCATAGCACTTTACATACGAAATCTCACCTTATCTGCACACTGTACTTAAAACACTTCACAGGCATGTCGGTGTGGGGAACTGAAGATTCATTCTTGCAACAGAATAATATTGTAATTGGTAGTTACTCTCATCCTACAAAAGTTTTCCTAATCTAATGCAATAAAAAAACAAAAATATTAAAAGTTAAAATATGTGAACAGTATTTAATAATGAATTAGACAATTTTAAATCAAATGCGTAAAAAACTAAATTAAATTAAAGGTTGAAAAGATAGAAGTTTGTGATGACTGAAAGAATCTTCCAAGGGCTTTGGAAAATGAGAGCACTTTCTTTTGCCTAAGTTCACCTTTTAAAGGAAGTTTTTTATTTTCCTTGATACCGAAAAGGAGGCAGGTATTGGTTTAACAGAAGAGAGAACTTTCTAATAATAGCTGCTTGAGATAAAAATGACTCTTGAAAATGGATTTTTCTACTTCTGAAAATTAAAGGTTAATAACTAAATTATCTGGATCCCTTCCAATCCTAAAAAATCTATATTTAGGGTTCATTCCTGTAATACATTTTTATTGAGAACCTAGGCACAAAGCATAAATATTTGTGAAACTACTGAATGTACTTTTGACTCACAAACAGAACTCAGTAAGAGAAAAGGAAAATACTCTCTGTCTGAGGGTAACTTTGCAAAATTTGGAAGAAAAACAATGAAAAGAAAGGTTAAGTGGAGAAGCCAAAAAGAAAATGGAGACTCTTTTCTTAGAAGAATTATACCTTAGGTTGAAACTTGCTTTTGCTGGAAGAAATTCTGGAAACTTCTTGGAATGAGGAATCAGCCCGCCCTAACTAAGAGGCAAGTCTGCGAGCAGCA